TGAAAGTGTGCCATGTCCACCTCCTAGTGTATTTCCCTAGTTTCCTCTTCAACTTGTTCGTTGTCTGATAACGTGGGTTATTGCTGATGATCTCTGGCCAGTGTATCTGAGGTACCGGGCATAGACAACCGTTTATAAATAACCGTACTGTTTTAGTGATGGTGGAGATAGTTCCTTAAGTTTCAAATCCGCACGACCAAACTATTTTAATGTTTGTGTTAAAAGTCTTGACTTTGACCTTGAATGATTGTTTCTTTGAAGTCCAGATATTCTTCATTTATAGAAATACTACCCTTGCCTTCGCAGTCCATGCTTTGATCTCTATATTGAGATCCCCCATGTTTCTTAATGATACTACCTAGGTATATAAAGGCTTATAGATCCTCCACACCTTCGCCATCAAGTGTAATTTGGTTGCTGCTCACTATGCCGTATTTCGGGATCTTGCTTTCTCCTTATGAATGTCGAGGTCTACTGTTACTGAAACTGCCGGTGCACTTGCTGTTTTCTTCTGCATTTGATGCTATGTGTAGGACGGCAGTGATAGATCACCTGCAAAGTTCATGGCATCCAGCTGATTCTAAGGTGTCACGTGTTTCCATGCTTCTTTTGAGATGTGGAGGTTTTCATAGTCTAGAGCAGACAGCTTTGTCTGACATCACCCCTCACTGTGAACGTATCTATGAACTGCCCTTCATGCCCTTCATGTAATCCGTCGTAAGAATTCCATGTGATGGTGATGGTCCTCTCAATTAATCAACAGTATTAAGGAAGATTCCAAAAGGCTTTCTTATCCAAGCCATCAAGCACTATTTCGTAATCAAAGAAGTGGATATATATGGAGGAAATTCGTTTAACTGATTGTTCAACTAAACAATCAGGTAAACGCCCAACTTCAAGACCAACAGGCAGGATTCCGTAAGGACAGATCATGTACAGACCAAGTCGCAACTCTACGGATCATTGTGGAATAATCAATTGAATAAAATTCATCACTCTACATCAACTTCATTGACTACGAAAAAGCATTTGATACCGTGAACAGAACAACACTATGGAAGCTTCTTCGACACTACGACGTGCCTCAGAAGATAGTCACTATCATACGGAATTCCTATGATGGATTAAACTGCGAAATTGTACATGGAGGACAATTGACAGACTCGTTCGAATTAGAGACCGGTGTCAAGCAAGGTTGCCTACTCTCACCCTTTCTCTTTCTCCTGGTGATCGACTGGATCATGAAGACCTCAACATCTGAAGGGAAACGCGGGATACAGTGGACATCTAGGATGCAACTGGACGATCTAGACTTCGCAGATGATCTGGCCCTCCTATCGCAATCTCGACAACAAATGCAGGAGAAAACGACCAGTGTAGCAGCAGCCTCAGCAGCAGTAGGTCTCAATATACACAAAGGGAAAAGCAAGATTCTCTGATACAACAAAACATGCACCAATCCAGTCACACTTGACGGAGAAGATTTGGAAGATGTAAAAACCTTTACATATTTGGGCAGCATCAATGATGAACATGGTGGATCTGGTGCAGATGTGAAAGCGCGGATCGGTAAAGCAAGAACAGCATATTTACGACTGAAGAACATCTGGAACTCAAACCAACTGTCTATCAACCAACACCAAGGTCAGGATTTTCAATACAAATGTCAAGACAGTTCTACTGTATGGGGCGGAAACCTGGAGAACTACGAAAGTCATCATCCAGAAGATACAAGTGTTTATTAACAGTTGTCTACGCAAAATACTTCGGGTCTGTTGGCCAGACGCTATCAGCAACAACCTACTGTGGGAGAGAACAAACCAGATTTCAGCAGAGGGAGACATCAGGAGGAAGAGCTGGAAGTGGGTAGGACACACATTGAGGAAAGCACCCAACTGCGTCACAAGACAAGCCCTCACATGGAATCCTCAAGGCCAAAGGAGAAGAGGAAAACAAAAGAACACATTACGCCGGGAAATGGAGATAGACATGAGAAAAATGAACAAGAATTGGATGGAACTAGAAAAGAAGGCCCAGAACAGAGTGGGTTGGAGAATGCTGGTCGGCGACCTATGCTCCATTAGGAGTAACTGGCGTAAGTAAGTAAGATTGTTCAACTATAACGCAGTGCCACGATTCGGTTAGTGGATGATCTTTTCGTACGAAATTAAGCTTGTTGATCTCGAAGTTAGGCGTCTACTGAAACTTACATTCGGTTAAGCAACACTATTGAAAACGTTTTCTGGTACTGATGGTAGTCATAAGTTTCTATAGTTCTCGTACTTACTAAGATTTACGTTTTTAGACACCTTAATGAGGTATACCTATTTCTATTCAGTCGGGACTTGTTCTTTATCCTGAGTCTTTCTTCAGAGAACATGGAGCATCTTTTCAGTTACATCACTGTTTGAATTCAGTACTTCGGCTGGCATGGCGTCTGATCCTGCTGCTTTACCGTTGTTGATTTTGCTAACGACTTTACTGAACTCTTTGATTGCTGGTACGATAACATCTATAGGGAAGCTTGTGTATGCTACTTCGTAGAACTCCACCCACTTGTACCTGTCCTTTAAATCTTCACTGATTAATTTTTGACTAGTTGCTCTGGGTTACTGTTTTTTTCTGCTAGCTTTATTGTACAATATAGCTCTTTCTTATTCCTTTTTTTGTTAGGCCTTCCCCATATTTCCGCATTTTAGCTCTTCTTCACGCGTTTGTTTGCTTCAGTATATTCAACCTGTAATTTCTTTTTGGTATTTCTGACTTTGCCTTCCTATTTCTTGGCTCTTAAATCTTCCTCAGACTATCAACAGAGATTCATTCTTTATGCTATTGCCCTTTTGGGCTTAGTGCCTACCGAAATACTCAAGTTAGTGCCGCTATAATCTTTTTCAAGTTGTGTTATGTAGTGATTTCCTCATTTAGTAGATCTTGAAAGACTTGGAACTTATTGTCGAGAGCAATCTTGAACTCGATGAGCTTATTGCTATCTCAAAGGATATATATATATATATATATATATATATATCAAAAGTCTATAAACAGGTCCCAGGAACTACCTATAATTTAATCTTCTTTTGATATAAGTTAGTGTGGGGCATATTAGTCGTTATTTATTTATGAAGATTTCAATGTTTGAATATCGTTTACACAAGACGAATTCGACAGAAACTGTCAATTAGGTCTCACTATGTTCAATATATAACTCTGCCTGGAGCCCCTCTGGGGGTACTGCAGGTCTCAAACCCAAATAAAGCAGGAGGGTTGGTCATGGGGTTAGCGACACCATCCCGTAGAAAACTAACTCGCTAAAAACCGTTAACCAGAAAAAATAATTCAAAACATTTGAACTCTACCCTGGGATTTAAGTCTTCATCTGGAAGAGCTATAAAGTCTCATGATGAAAGCCGAGTTTCTTCGGAAGTCACGAGGCCCATGCCCCTTCTGACAACCAGAGTAAACAATTAATTTAGGTACATGGAATGTTCGTACAATGCAGGAGACCGGGAGTCATCAAAGTTGCTGAAAAATGAAAACGTACAAACTGAAGGTGCACGAAATCAGTGAAACACATTGGAAGCAGGTTGGACAAGGACTAGCTTCAGAGGAGCTTCTGTTAAGCTCCGGCCATCAAGAAAATGCTCCACATACACAAGGAGTTGCACTGACGCTGTCAAAACAAGTACAAAAAGCACTTATAGGACGGAAATCTCATGGACCAAGGGTCATCAGAGTCTCCTTCAAAATGAACGATAGGCTGCAGTCAGTCGTCGAGAAGTGCCTAACAAAGGACTTGACTATTTTGATGGGAGACCTGAATGCCAAGGTTGAAATAGACAGCATCGGATATGAAGACATCATGGGACGACACGGACTGGGAGAAAGGGACGAAAATGGTGAGATTTGCAAACCTATGTGCCTTTAATAAACTGGTCATAGGCGGCACTGTATTCCTACATAAACGCATTCACAAAATCACATGGACTTCACCGGATCACACTACACAGAACCAAATCGACCATATCTGCATCAACAAAAAGTTCAGGAGGACGTGAGAAACAAAAAAGCTGATATAGCATCAGATCATCATTCGCTGGTCGCCAAGATGAAATTGAAACTCAAGAACTACTGGACAACGGTGCGGACAACATCACAATAGTTTAATACAGCTTTTCTTCGGGATACTGACAAACTCAACAAATTCAAGATAGTCCTCAGCGATAGGTTCAAGGCCTATCATGATCGAATCAATGGAGAGGGAACTACCATGGAGAGCAACTGGAAAGGGATAAAAGAGACAATCACTCCATGTCATGAGGTTTTGGGCCACAAGGAACGAATCACTGTTGATACACTAGATAAGATTCATGAAAGGAGGAACAAGAAGGCAGCAATCAATACCAGCCGAACAAGAGCAGAGAAAGCCAAGGCACAAGCTGAATACACAGAAGTAAACAAGCAAGTGAAGAGGAGCATCAGAACTGACAGACGTAAATATGTGGAGGATTTATCAATGACGTTGGATAAGGCTGCAAATGAAGGAAACATGAGATAATTGTATGACACAACAAGGAAGCTCGCCGGAGGGCAAAGTAATCACCACATCGAAACAGGTGGGTAGAACATTTCAAAGAATTATCGAATCGACCAGTTCCACTGAACCCACCCAACATCGAAACAGCACACACGGACTTCTCAATCAATGTTGGCCCACCAACATTATAATGCATTATAATCATAAATACTTTTGTCGACCTGTGATAAACATTAGCTAAAATTAATTTGAAATATAATACGACATTGAATCATTACATGGACTACTAAAGGTCCTATAAGTCTGTGAGAGTGAGATAGAACTGTTCATCCACAATACTATGGTATTTGAAGGTCGAATTTACAACATTACTTACATGCAATTATCAAAACAACTCTCAAGAGGAAGGTAATATATCTGAAGATTGACCTCTGCAATGATGTTGAGAAACAATGAAAAGTTAAAATGTGCAATAGCTATGTATTTAAACGATTTATTACCAGACAAAAGCCAAATTTAACCTGACATTTTGTAAGGAAAAATAACATCATTTTACATTGTAACTGTTATTATTTACGCATTAAGGATTTATTTGTTTCAAAAAACATGATAAGTTTTAGAATAAAGAATGTACGGTAGTATTATCACATAGGTAAAAAAAAATGTGTACACAAAAATTTAAACACAAAGTTCAAACAGTGGAAACCACATATTGAAAAAAATGCTCTGAATATATTGGTTAGGGGTAAATATTAATTTATCCCATATAACCCATGGGAATACTAATAAATTTCAAAAACTTCCTGATAGTGAGTCGCATTAGATTACTGTGTTGTTTGAAATTACTGGAAACTGTTTAATGATACGTTTAGAAAGAAAATTAATTAAATACAAAATGAACAAGGTATCTTTAACAATTAGAACATTAGTCACTCAACTGGTTGCAGTGGGAATATAATAATTAATATAGAACTCAAACAGAAGTAGGTTGAATAGGAAAATCGGAGGATAAATTTGAAGGCACAGAAGCTGATGTAGAAGGAAGTCTTTTGCGATAACCAAAAAATCCATCAGGAACTTCAAACTGATTAAAAAAAACAAAAAAAAAGAAAACTTATTAATTGTGCAGTTTAGTGGAAAAGGCTTCGTTTATTTGCTTCTATACAACAAACAGTACTCTTCGCTAACCCTAACCAAATATGTGAGCTACAACTCAGCAGCAAACTTATTTTGGAAAATTAATTTGACAAAATTCAGATGTCATAATGATTGTTTCTTTGTGAATAGCTAACTCTTTACTCTGGAAGCTCTATTGCATAGTAAAAACATGTTTGTACGTTAATACAGCTGGACAGAAATGATAACTAATTAAGCAGTGTTATACAGTTAAAAACAGAACATAAAAAGTTTAGAAACAAGTAAATTCACTTAGTACAAGATTTTTTAACGATTTGAAGACTTTATGAGGGGAACTAGGTTATACCAAATGAAAAAGTCAAACTGTAAACATCTTACATTGACACGAAAGTCTTCAATAGTCCTGTACTTCTGCAGTAGCTCTTTTAGTGCATGATTGACTTCTACTTTGCGTCCACTATAGTGCAAGAAAGCCCAAAATTTTTCCAACCCATATAGATGTCCATTTTTGTAGTCTCTCAAGGCTTGTTCCTATGGGGTAAATAAAAACTACAGGTTAGCAAGTGGAAAGTGAAGGGTGCAAATGTTCAAGAAACGTATTATATGCATAAGTGAATGTGTGAATTAGAGGACACTACTTGTACGCAAGGCGTAATGTGGTTGAGCTGGTTATGACATAAATTTATTTTGAAATATATGTATGATGTGACAGTAACATTAAATAGTTTCCTTATGAAGTTGAAGCAGTGTTCAAAATCATAAAAAGGTAAAAACGGGATATGTAAACAGAGGAAACTGCACTACAAAATTTACCTGGAAGTCCTTATAAAGAGACCATTTGAAACGACGTTCCAAACCATACGAGTAAAATCGAAACAAGCATTCCAATCCATATCGATAACCAGACGCTTCATCTTCGAGAGCCAAACGTTTGAATTCCTTGTACATACCATGGAAGAAGTTGTCTCGTAAAAAGAATGACCAAAACCTATACAATGTGTTCATTTCTTGTGACTGTCCTGCGCCCGATTTTTCACGATCTAACAGACAAGCAGCACGATATCGGAAATACTCACGAGATGCTAGGCCGCTATCTCGAAGGTATGATTGACTCATATGATTTCCAAAAGTATAAGGAGTTTGTTTATGAACAGAAAACTGGGACTGGTTAGTTTTCACAGGTTCATTTGGCACGAAATTCGGCTTATTATCTTCGTCAGTTGCATGTTCGGTAGTTATGATCACAGTAGTTCCAGATGTACTAACATCGCTAACGGAAAAATAATAAAAAATGCTTTTAAACGAAGTGTAAACGTTACGCTAGATGAATGAGGGCAGCGCTTATTCATATTATTCACAATTAAAATGATTTGTGCGAAAGTGGTTTTGAGAGTAACAGACAATATAACAAACTTAATCCATTATTACTACTATGATTGAAGATAGCCTTGGGGTATGAAACAAATGAGTAACCGAGACTGTGGTTGTTGTGAAACGCAATAAAAGTACTCAGGAAAATGTATTTATTATGGACAATTGTTGTACTTGCAATATTGAAAAATTAAGCAATATTACGTAAGCCACTTCTGTTGGAAATATGACGAAGATAAAGAGGTGTGATTTAACGACAGCATATATTCCTGTACTGAACTTCGAACTCAGCCTTTTGTAGAGCTATATGATACATTATACAGTCGAAAAGTTGGTGGATAGACAACTGTCTGGCAACTGAATTAAAACGAGTACCTAAGTCAATGAGGTACAAAAAATGTAAATATGCTTAAAAATTATTTAACGCCTGCACTAGAAGTGTGTACGTTTAGGATAACTGGAGTCACTGAGAATGATGAAAGACGAGGCTTAACATGGAAATACAAGTACATTTACATTTATACGTCTAAAAAAGAAGCTGATACACGTATTATTTGATATTAGATATTTTGTTTAAAATAAACTGGTTTTGTGCAATATTGCTTTCAGGAGTTAAATAATGAGAAAACAAGTGAATAATATGATGGATTGATCATTTTACGTGTAAAAATGGTTTGCCGATAAGTTATATATCAGATTTACATTTGCTTTTAATAGAAATAATAGCTTGTGTTTCGCAGTTGTCTATAAGTCAAGATGGTAAACAGACCGTCAATCATTTACACACGTTGACAATTTTTATTTGTTAGTACGTATTCTACAAAAGAGGTTGAGTCAAATAACAAATATTAAGTACGTTTCTTTTCGAAAATTCGTTAGAAAACTAAACGTCCTATAGAAAAGGGTTGAATAATGTCAAAGAAAAGACGGTCTAAATTATTGAGATGTTACTTAAAACTGATTTTCCGAAACTATATTGGGGGTTAAGTATATATAAAAAATGAATTATTCGTTGGGAAACGCTACTCACATACCTTGCCATAGATATTAGTGTCTTTGGAGTTCGATTACGACTGTCTTCAAGTGTAGCATGTGAAATAGCACTGGAGGTCTGACCTCTTGTGGTTCTAGCTGAAGGTCGGGCAGAAAGATCAAACGCGAATCCGACGTCTAATTCATCTCGTTTTCGAGTACCAGTAGATCCTACTTTTGCGGGATAAAAGCCGGTCATACGACGCTTTGCGGTATGTTTGTTTTTAGGTTTGTCAGTTACCACAGATTTTTGAGAGGCGGATGCTACAGCAGCCCTGGAAACTTCAGCAACGAGTGCTGCCACCGCGTTTTCTGCTTCCAACTGCTGTTCAACTTGACTGGGTGTTAATGACCCCATGTCTAACGAACACGGAAGTACTTCAGAATTGTAAAGTGGTAGAATAGGATATGAGGGAATCCATGAGGAATTAGCAACCAAGTGTGATGGTTCAGGGGGTAACACGTTAGGAAAATAAAAAGGAAATGTTGGGTAGGGATTTTCGACAGACTGGGTTTTGGTTTTTTCTAATCGAGCCGAATTTAAGCGTGGGTCTTCTGATATGTTGACATTTTCATGAGAAACATAGATTGGTCGCTCGGTTGAACCGGAAGCAGCAGCTTCTTTAAGGCTGACAAAATCTTCTGGTGAAACAAGATTGATCTGTTGAGACGAATAAACAGGAAAAATTAATCCATTTAGTTAAATAAACTATACATAAGTTAACAACCATATAAACGTTAGTAGCGTAGTTTTTAGCACGTTAATGGATATTACTCTTGAGAATGAGGTGTATGGTCAGGCTATTCTTTAGCGTTGCTGTACTTTTTAATTCGAGTCAACTATGCAGGAGAGCACTGTTGGACAGAAAAAGTTTCATTTGTATGGATGCCCGAACGTGACTTTAAAAGATGGTCGCAAAAATGGTATATATATATATATATATCACTCATGACAAGGTTGCATATCATAATGATATGTGAAGTACCAAGATAAGATTTTAGTTAATGATCAACTAGAAACGAAAAGTGAGATTATTTTCACATTAGGCATTAACCTCCAGAAATCCTTGAGGACATATCAAAATTTTTGAGTAAACGAGCGAAAACGGATGGATTGATAATATACGGTTTACTTCATTTGACCGTTAAATTCCATAACACCAAACATGCTAGTGTTTGTAGACGTATTAAGGTAATAAAGCTGATGAAAACTTTCAGAAACTTGCAAAAAGTAGATATGATGAAATGACTTGATTCTGTTGAATTAAATGGACTTACTTTTTCCAAGCGAGTAAGAGACTGACTGGATGACTTATCAGATAAAAGTGAGATATTCGGTTCTTCAACATCATCTTCAAAACCAAGTTCACAAATAGAGGTGTAACGTTCGCGCTTCACGTTTTGTTCATAATCCTCAAGTCCCAGTCGAATTCTTTGCAGCATATCTGCATGAATCTTGGCACTAAACGAGTAAAAAATGTGTCAACTAAGTAGAGAAATATTATCATCTAGAAAGCAAACGACAAAACTGCAAAATAATGTGGTGATTGGAGGCAGTTGGAAGAAAATTTTGGGTATTGATTTCGCGCTAATTGGCACTGGTCAGTAAGATGTGACTGTAATCTTGAGAACTTATGTTTCCTGATGCACTCGATTCTGTCTCACCCAGCTTCATAGTCAAAAATCTTACCACTGAACTATTTAAGCAGCGACTAACGTTTTGTGGAAATGATATATTTACGATTGACTGACTAGGGTTACTACTACTGAGTGACCATTCCATTATACAGTGCAAAGTTCAGTTCAGTCATTAATCAACCCCTCGGAGACTAAACATTTACTTTTGATCTTTCTTTTCATGAATAGCAGACTGTTGCAGATTAAAAATACGTGTTTATCAACGACCAGATTTCCTGTGAGGTACCTTGTTCAGTGAATAACAACTTGCGGAGCTACCTTAACAATTAATGACATTATTTGGATTCCTCCAGAAAATTATGTGCAGCGAGGCTCTAACCTGAGAATTGATGATCGGAAGGTGAACGCATTAATGACCTGAAAACTGAACCAGTCTCGTGTATACTTTACTCGAAACCAAACATTTCTGATTCCCATGTACGTGATTGATAATTAAAGTTAAAGAATTATGGTAAAGCTACTTTACTGTGGTTCATGTTCTGAAAGTAACCATGGAAACATATTGTTTAAGCATAGTATACCTTTAGTATATTTGGATTATCGTTAGAAGTAGAATTCAGAACGTTCTTTTCGTCAGGACCTGTCAACAGAATGCACAGAGATTCCAGTTTTGATATCTGTATCGAGACTATACCAACCGATGAGTAGCAAATACCAAATAAAAGCGCACATCCCGGATTCTACTACTGGCTACAATTTAATTATGCTTGTAACTAAGAAGGTATTTGCTCAGGATTCACATACTTCAACAAAGAATGATTGGAATTCAGTTTCAAGTAACAACCGGAAAATACAAACTTTAGAATAATCGTTTATTATTATTTTGTAGTAAAATCTGATGTAAAACTAGAAATATTGCTAATTTTTGAAGTATGTACAAAAAAGGTTGCTTTCTTCGTATGGACAGCATTGGTCAGTGATAAAACCTGGTTAAACATTCATGTGACGCATAGAAAAGTACACATATACTCACATGACTAGTACATAATGAGAAGTAACAAGAAATAATTACTTCAAATCATTAAGTGAGCTTAAAATAGGCCGGAAACATATCGCTAATATCTATAGCAAACATGAGACATGAATTAAAAATAAACATTATTATACCAAGTGAAACTACTATTTTAGAATTAATACCATATTTATCGTTACTCCACAACAGATATCGTAATAACCTTTGAACAAGTACTATTATCTGACTTTACATCTTTACGACATAAATAGACTAGAGGTCGAAAATGTTAGCAGAGTAACAAAACATGTACATAAAAAACAAATTAGTTACCGAGACTGATGATCTGGATTGGGGTGGCGATCGCCAGATGGGTGTTTAGCCAAAAGGCGGGAAGAATTGGCAGCATGTTCAGAAGATGTGTATCCACTATGTATTGTTTGACTCTTGTCAATTGTAATATTACAAGGTGTAGTATTCAATGGACCGGATTCGAAATCAGCTTTTTCAATCCACGATTCAGATGTTCGAGATGGCTTTGATACATGTGCTTTCGCGCTGAGAGTGCTTTGATCAGAAGCGCGTCCACCCGCTCTTTCAGGGACAATAACAATTAGATAATTCAAGAGGTCATCTTCATCAATATCACTGAACTCAGAACACGAAGATTCGTTCCTTTGACGATGACTAGTCTAAAAATTTAGGAATACGCATGAATAAATAAGCATGCCTTGAACTACTATTACTGGTTATTCAAGTTCCACTGTTAAGAAAGACTGTTTAGGACTATATAGTCATTAAGAATAACTAGATAAACCTAAAATTGCCCGGTATCATTGGTGAGACATTAGATAATTTACATTGGCGTATCATGACGACGCACGAAGAAATCTGATTCCGATATGTTCGAGCTGTACAGACTTTCGACAAAATTGTTTATTAAGAAGAGGTTCAGGCACTGAGATTTGGATCACGTTTAATGTGTCAGGTCTAATGATACTACCTGACGGCTGAGAGTTAGCATAGTTTGACTAAAATTATGAATGCTTATTTTTCACAAACCTAAAAAGCCAAGATGACCAAGCCCTGAAATAGACCAAAATTGAGTTTTAAGAATTACATGTTACCAGGGTAAGTGGAAAGAAAATACTGAGAAAAAACTATGTTCATGACCATAACGTTTGCGACAAGTACATCGTGTATAAATTGCGCTACAATGAAATCTTAGTTGTTCCGGAAGATTATAAGGTTCCTGATCAGAATATAAACACGATACTAAAGTGGACAACAGTTGAATGGAATATTACACAGAACGATTTCTTACGCTTACTGAATGTCTTAAATTACAGCTACTAAACCACTGGAGTTGAAGCTTTCCTAGCATCAGACTGCCAGGATGGAACTGGATCCAGGGAAGTATGAATAGTGGATTTAACAAAAACTCATAATCAGAAACAAGGTAGAAAAGTTATGTTTAGTATTCTTAATTTTAAATAGAAATCTTACCAAAAACCATTCGCGTTTGTAAAATTACGTTTATCTGTGAAGTATATTTCTTGGATGAAGTATTACTTTCTACTTACGTTCACCAATATTACTGTCTCTCTATCTCTTCCTTTTTGACTATCTGATAGCCCTTACTGTTGAATGCCAACAGTTTGGAAGAAAAATAATGTATTCCATCAACATGGATAATTAATTTGACACAGCCAAATTTGAGTAGGGATTAAGACCGATTTTGTGATGAAATTTGTAAACGTAAATATTGCAAACATATAGTAAGATTTTCATATCAGGCTTAAAACACTAAGTGACTAAACTCATGGAGCATAAGGCTTGTGGTTCGTTGCCCATAACGTTTCAGTTTCACTACAACTGATTATTTCGATAACAGAACACAAACCTTTCTTCGAACATAAGGAACTAGAGAGATGATATTATCTGACAGTTTAGTATGTATACGTTGGAAGGCAAGCCGTAATATCTAGTTGACCACGTTCATTCGATTTACAGAAAATTGTCGGTACCATACAGCATCAAAAAGACAAGCTATATCCAGTTTATGTTAAATACAAGCTCCATGAAATCTCAATTGGAAGCAATTATTTCTACCGTGTCCATTCACTATTGTATGTTATTAAACTGATGTTATCTTCAAATATTATGTACCAAGAAACTAACAATCGTTGAAGAATAAACCCTATTAAAAATTAAAAAAATAGGTGACTATTTTGACCAGACTTGCTTTGAATAAGCATTGTGACTTGACACCGAACAGGGACTTTTGGGTTTTTAAAATGGACAGGAAAACCAATTTTTGACTAGGAACAACACAAATCTTTTTTAAAGTCAGTGTTGAATTAGCTATTATTATATCTAAATAACTGTTCTACAATGCTTAAAGAATACAATGGCTTGTTTGCATTCAAACCTTGTATTGTTAAAACTATGTACAAGGCATGAATAGTATGTATGTGTATCGGAACGCTAAGCTTTGACAAGGATTTATTAATACATCTTGGAAAATTTGAAATCTTACCGTTGTAACAGGGATATTTGAATTGGATGAAGACAGAGTCTTGAGACGACTACGTTGACGACGTTCCACCTTCAACCAATCAACATCGTTTATTTCTCCCGCGATGGTGGATGTTGAGTTTGTCACTTCCATACTAACAGTATCTGAAGGAGGTGCATCAGATGTGTATGTCGAGGAACTCATTGTAGTGGCCGAGGTGGAAATAGGAGCATGTTGAGTGAAAACTGTGGATTCTATGTTTTGAACATATTTAAACTACACTCAACTTACCGACTGACACACCATAACTTTCAGAAACGGCTAGCTGACGTCTTATAAGTCCTCTACCAGCATCAATTTCTACAACACTGCTGTTACAACAAGCCTAAACTGTAATAAACTAATGAGATTGGTGTTACTTGGATAATAAGGTTTTTCGAAGCATCTAACTGCTTCATCCTGGGAAAGTTTAATATAACTTCTAAAGGCACATATCCATCAACAGTCATTTTTTCTTGGAGGTATCGGTCGCGGGTGAAGTTCCTATCACCAAAGTAGTATTCTATTTGATTTCTGATCCTGGAAAGCCTCTCAGATACGCAGGCCACACATTCACTTGTATCATAACTACATGGTTGGCTTTGAGAAATATGGTGTCGGTAGTGTGACAATACGCGAGGGTCTAAAATGAAATGCAGCAAACACACTTACTAAATCCTGGCCGAGGCACTAAGTAGCATAGCTCCACTCCGGCAAAATTTGGGTTGACGTATAGACACCATTGAGAATTTGAGCAGTTGCTTTGAAACTTTCGGATTTTATCTAGATTTACACTCTTTATAGGTTCGGTGCATTCAGGAGCCTCAAATTTATCCACATCATTTAAATCCTTATAGGCAGGATACCCGATTTCTGGAGGAAGGTTGCTTTCTGAAGGTAACGAACTTTGGATTTTAGAAAAAGTAAGCTGAACGGGCAGATCTTCCCACTTTTGTTTGGATTTAAGTCTAGTAACAAACTATTTTAAAATATATGAATCATAAAGACATACTCTTTTATTACTTCCTGAGTTTTTGTTCAACTCATTTAAAGCTGGCCATTCGTTATCCACTATGTGCAGACCATTCAGAAGTCCTTCATTCATCGCAGCAGTTCCTAATAATTAATTTGAACACGAATTTGGCTTTGTGACCAATTCAGTATCATTAGTAAAAACGGCGTGACGACACGCCAACAACGTATTACGCGCTACTAGAACACGACCCCAAATCGGTTTCAGTTTCAGTTCAGGAAGGACAGGAGGCCCGATGGCCTATGTTAGTCTTGCAATGGTGGTCTCTCAGTTGGTCCAACTTTCTTTTGAACGAGTCGATGGACAGAGCCTCAACCATGTGCTGAGGAAATGAATTCGACTCGATGATTCGATGGGAAAGTCGATAGTCAACTGACAAATAATTTGTTCAGGGCTTGTGAACGTTTTTTGAGTGTCCTCGTAAATTATCTGTTTTGGAGGACAAGAAAAACGAGGGCATATCAGGTGCAAATTCATCACTAGGCAATTTGAAAACTGTAATCAAGTCGCCTCTAGTTCTATGATATGACAACAGGAAAAGGTTTACTAGTATGAGGGTTGTGGAGATTATTACGTTTTTGATTGAGATCATGAACCGATTGATGTTAGACCACCACCTTCGAAAACCTGGAAGCACTGGACGGCCGTTTCGTCCTATTATGAGACTCCCCAGCAGTGCAGGTTTAGCTTGGCCAGTCGAGCATCATACGGAAGCTTTGCTATTCCGGGAATCAGCTTAGTTGCTGTTCCCCGAATCTCTTCCAAAAGCTCACCGTCTTCTTTTATCAGGGGCTAGCCGCTTGTATGCAGTACTCAAGTTTAGGACGTACGAACACTGTATGCAAAGTCAAAAACGTTCTAGCGTCCATTTGACTAAAAGCCCCACGTATTGACCATAAGGTTCTAAAACCTTTGGCGGCTATTGCAGGACAATGTGCATTAGTCTTTAAGTCTTGGTTAACGATGACTCCTAAGTCATTATGTGTCTGGACACTAGGCAGCTCAGTGTTATTTGTCGTGTATGTATCTGTACCTTGATGATCGATATGCATCACAACACACTTGGAAGTATTTATCGGCAACTGCCAGGTTTGGGAGCATTCAGTTAATTTCTTCAGGTCATTTTGGAGTTCTAAGCAATCACCCTTACATCGTATCGTTCTCCATATTTTGACACCGTCAGCATATAGCAAGACCGATGATGATAGGAGACGAAGAAGGTCATTTACATACAAGAGGAATAGCACTGGCCCCAAAACTGTACCCTGGGGCACTCCACTAAGCACAGTTTCCCAGCTGGATAACTTTGAGTTCATCCTTACTCTTTGTTGACGCCCAACTAAGAAGTCTTTTATCCACATAAATAGATTGCCTCCAATCCCGACATTTCTTAACTTATATAACAGCCGGTTGTGCGGAACCTTGTCAAAAGCTTTGCTGAAATCAATGAAGGCTACGTCTACAGGTAACTTTTGGTCCTTAAGAGCGCACCAGCTTTTACGAGCCACTAATAAGTTATTGAGACAAGAATAACCTATTCTGAAACCGTGCTGCTTCTCCGAAAGGATCCAGTTTTCATCGAGGTACTTAAACAACTGCTTCCGAATAATCTCTTTCAAGATTTTAACACACTAGTTAGGCTAACGGGTCGGTAATTCTCAGGTTTGTGTTTCGTACCTGTTTTGAAGACAGTACTTATTATGGCGTTCTTCCAGTCTTTCGGTAAACGACCCTGCGTTACGGATAGATTAAAGCATATACTTAAAGGGTTCGCAACGAAGTTAGGCAATTCCTTTAGTAGCACAGGGTGCAATTAATCGGGCCCTGTGGATTTACCTATGTCAAGCTTATTTAGCAGACCAAAGACATCGAGTTCTGTAATGGTCACGCTATCCAGTGTATGTGTGGAGGGATTTGTATGCGCTGACGCGAAGGGTGCTTCTATGGTATATACATTGCTAAAGTAGTTCGAGAACACTTGAGCTTTACCAAAGTCGTCCTTCATTAGTGATGCGGCAGTACTGTCTCCCCATAGTGTAGGAATATTTCTTCTTATGGTCCTTTGGTTTATATAGGAATACAAGCGTTTAGGACATTCTATGGATTCCTTAACAATTTCTTCTTCGTACAACTTTCCAAACTTACGGAGGGTCGAGGCACAGATATTCCGAGCTTTTCGATACTGAGATTTTGTCTTATCAGCCCCCAGTAACCTAAATTTATCACACATTTTTCTTCTCTTATGGAGAAGGATGAGGACCTCCCTTCTGAACCATGGTGGAGAGTTTATCGACCCCTTTGGTTTAAACAACCGATTTTTTTAGCTAGACTTAGCAATCACTGTTGAGACCGAGTATATTGTCTATCTAAATGTTCTCCCACCGTTAGCAAGCAGCGATCATGTTTTGTTATTCATGTTTAAAGCTAGTGACACAGTGTATGATCAGAATGTACCCTGAGAAAATATGTCGATGGCGTTGGAATGTTCTTGTCTCTGCTGGCTCCGAACAATACTAATCCACGTATTGTAAGACCAAGTGCGCATGCGAAGCGTTGTTAAGTAAGGCCAGTGTCGTAATGGACAGTGTCCGATAGATAGATGACGTGTCATATGTTAACCTCCAACCGACTATTTGAGAGAGAACACAAGACTGGAAGAGAAAGTATGTTAGGCTACCGAATAAAACGCACAAATACTCATTTATATTTATCTGACTCTACCCCATAGGAAATTAATTAATTCCCTAGTCAATGAAATGCACTTCCCCTTAAGGTTACTTTTGACTGCCATTGACTAGCCTCCTCATTAGGCTACTTCTGGTTGACTTACCATATCAGTCAGATCATCTTATGAAAAAAAATTGGTCAGGGATTGTGGAGATGGTTCGAAAAAGATGTTTTTGTTCTCCACCACTTTTGGTACGGAAACATTCAATGAGATTAGCAAGAAATGATGTTGCAAAAGCTGAAGCCTTATCAAGATATTTTAGCAGTGCTTTTTATCGACGGCGGTGGAAGACTAACAGTTAATCATAATGGTGACTGGTCTAGCGGTTATTGAGAAAAGAGCTGTCTTACGAACGCTTGAACATCTCATACCAGATAGGTCCAGTGGCCCTTACTATACTCATCCTATGATTTTGAGAGCCCTGGCAGATGTGATCGCTAACTCATTGACATTACCGGTTGAAATGACTTTGCGGAAGTCCAAACTGTCAAGAGACTGGAGAGATACAATTGTCGGTCAGATTTATAAAGCAGGGAGTAGAGACTTAGTTGGTAACTATCGACCATTTAGTCTAACCACTGTAGTCTTCAAACAATGGGAAGGGTTATCCAGATACCCATTCTGAGCTATATGATAGGGTATAATCTTTTAACCGGGGAACAATGTGGTTTTAAAAAACACCATTCATGCTTGGTAAATCTCATTGAAATATAAGATTGGGCTGCAGCGAAAGATAGTAATACTCTAGTAGTTACAGTTTTCATATATCTGAGTAAAGTTTTTGACTAAGACCCCCACACCTTGATCTTAAATCATATCTAGAAAGTTTCGAGGTCTTTTGCGAAATCGCAAACCGTATAGTGGACAGAAGGTACGGGTAAATATGACTCTTGCAGTAAACAAAGTAGAATCACATACTGCATTTTTTAATTTTGGAAATAACACATCGAATACACCGTTTGCGCATCTTTCTTGACTTGTCTCTTACAAACTCCGTCCGTTCTTTCATTCCTGTTGCTCCTCTGACCGCTTCTGTTTTTCTTTCTCTTCTCATCATGTTCCTCTGCTATCAGTACGAATCCTACTTCCACTCATCGACATATATTACTATTTGCTCGTGTAATTTGCACACACCACACTATCAAATTGAGAATCTGTGAAAAGTGGAGTTCCACAAAGTATAATCATTAGCCCTCTTCCTTTTATGCCTTACGCACATCACTTAATTTAGCACAGTCGTCTGTTCTACTCTCTGCAGATGATGCAGAGATTAAGGGACCGATCTACATCAAAAGACGAACAATTGTGAGCAGGCTCTGTTGTAATTTTGACACCAGGAAATGAATCTTGCCATTTTTACCGGAATGCAGTTCAGATATACTGGTTCTTCTAAACTAATGTAAATTATCACACTGATAAAATTTAAAATGTAACTGTATATTGGCAAAACTGTGAAAGACTACAAAAACACATGTACAAAACATTTACTTTGTAGACAATGAAGTTACTTACTCATACACTTTTGTTATGAGTCTACAATTCATGTGAATTATCCTTCTTCCTCATGTTTTATGTTTACCCGGTAACGGAATTTCACACATGTAAGCTCTGATGGCACTGTTAGAAGGTATTATCATTACTGATAAAAGGATTCCAGAAAAAGCATAGTAATCAGGTATTCATCTAGAATGCTGACATGCAACTCTTATAAACATTACAATTCTTTTGCAATATCTGTAAACGTGGAATACGTCTACTACAGAAAAACTAGTTCATACATCTAAGTTCTTGTCTATATTGGTCACGAGGTGCCCTTATTAATATAGTATGCAATCTTGGAAAAACATTTCCTAACGATATGAAATAAAATAATTTTTTGTCATGTATAAAATGAACGTCCATATAAATCTCGAAAATTGTTTCTCGGTAGTAAGACTGATTTGTAATCCGTTGTTTTCTATCCGAAGACGTTTACGCTGAACGGAAGTAGATCATATTGAAAGTGAGTTATTTCAAACCTTGTTACGAAGAGAAAGGTGGTGGATACTATCATCAGTTGTTTGGATCTAGTGAAATATCGTTGAACTCCGGCTAAACCATCCATCAAACAGGACCCGTTTTATGTTAGAGGGTTGATAAGTGAACTCTGAACAATTTACTGAATATTGCGGTGGTCGACGATGAATACCTCCGCTTAACGATTTCAAGCGTTGCGCTCAACAGTTTTTCCCTTATGTATATTTTATTTCTTTGTTCCTTTCGAGTACAAATAAATCATTTACGTGGTAAAACAGTTTTAGTTGTTCACAAGACTCAAAAATAGATCATTACCTGATCATAAATATAGAGTAATTTGTAATAGGTGTTTATTCTATGTTGTAAGTTGAACATCAGTTAAGCGGCCGCAACAACAACTTTCAGCCATAATAGACCCCCATTTACTGTAGAAACAAACGAAGTGTTGAA